GGGCGGGCTCCGTCTGGAGGACCGGGAGGAGCGTATAGGGGAGCAAGTGCGGGTCCGGGGGCTGGCGTTCGACTTTGCGACGAGATCTGAGCGAAGGAAGGGTTCAGAACCGTTCTGGGAAATAAGGAAATCCCCTCCCAGGGGCGCGCGCGCACACACACACACACACACACACACACACACACACCCCCTGCGGATTTCGTTCTACGTCAATTTTTTATTTAGTTATAGATTTTAAAATTCATGGAAAAATGATTACTATATAACTAGCTGATTTTTACACCCCCCCCCCCGAAGGCCCGCCAAGCGATTTTTGTAAACTATTCATTCGGGGAGGTTCTTTTCTTTGAATTTTATAGACCCGTCACTGCGTTCCTATCGAACTAGACGCTTCACAAGTGCTTTGGAAAATCATTTGTTTGTAAACAGTCAGAACGATATTAAAGGAAAAGCACTTGAGGAAACTGGAAGAATTTGGCCAGATCAGTTATGCTGCAGCACACTTACAACCTGAAATGCCAGGAGAAATGTATGAAATGTCGGCATGTAGAATTCAGCCCTTCTTACAGGGTTTGCTCCAGAAATGTCCATGGCAGACTTCTCGCCGAACCTCACTTGACTCCAGGACCATGCCTTAGTTAATGTTTTTAACTCCCGAAGTACCCAGCTGGATACTTGACAACAAAATGTTTCCAAATAGAAGACAAAGTCTTGGGCGCGGTGACTCACGCCTCTACTCTCAGCACTTTGGGAGGCAGAGGCAGAGTTCTAGACCAGCCTGGCCAACATGGTGAAACCCCGTTTCTACTAAAAATACAAAAAATTAGCCGGGCGTGGTGGCGGTCGTCTGTAATACCAGCTACTTAGGAGGCTGAGGCACAAGAATCCCTTGAACCCGGGAGACGGAGTTTGCAATGAGCTGAGATCACACCATTGCACTCCAGCCTGGGCAACAGAGCCAGACCCGTCTCAAAATAAATAAATAAATAATAAAAAGAAAACAAATGATCAGAAGTCTGTGAAAATAATACATGAATCATCAAAAGTAGAAATTATGGTCTGTGTTGCTTGGGCAGACGGGATCAGCAACCTTTTATTACCAAAGTTAATGGCCATAAAGCTAATTACAAAGTTAATGTATTTAATGAATTTCGGGGATTTCTTTTTTTTCTCGTTTTTTTTTTTTTTCGCTTTCTTTCTGAAGGCACATATTTTCTGTGCCTACTCCACATTGTAAAGAAAGTGTTGGCAAGTTTTTTTCTGTAAAGTCCAGATAGTAAATATATTAGGCATTCTTGGCAATAGAGTCTCAGTCACACCTCTTTAGCTTTGTCCTGTGTTGCAGAAACAGACACAGAGATGGAAATAAATGACAGTATTCCACTAAAACCATATTATGGACACCGAATTTGACTTGTGTATAATTTTCACATAACATGAAATATGATTCTTTTGATTTTTTAAAACTGTTTACAGGCCGAGCATGGTGGCTCATGCCTGTAATTCCAGCGCTTTGGGAGGCTGAGGCAGGAGGATCACCAAATCAGGAGTTCAAGACCAGCCTGTCCAACATGGTGAAACCCCATCTCTACTAAAAGTACAAAAATTATCCAGGTGTGGTGGCGGGTACCTGTAATCCCAGCTACTCGGGAAGCTGAGGCTGGAGAATCGCTTGAACCCGGGAGGTGGAGGTTTTGGTGAGCTGAGATCACGCCACTGGGCAAGAAGAGTGAGACTCCGTCTTAAAAAAAAATACTGTTTACAAATCTAAAAATTATTTCTGTCCAACCCCTGTTGTAGAAGACAGTAGGTCAAGAAAACAGTATCTTTATTATATTAACGTCAATTTCCCTTTCTTAAACTTTTACCTACTGTAGTTGTATTCAAATATGAAAATTCAGCTAGTTGTTTTTCTTTTTTTGGAAGAGACAGGGGTCTCACTATGTTGCCTAGGCTGGTCTTGAACTCCTGGGCTCAAGCATTCCTCCTCAATATCCCGAAGTGCTGGGATTATAGGCATGGGCCACCACACCCAGCCTCTAGTTCTGTCTTAATAAAGGATATCTGAATGTATTCCTAACGTGATAATTTGTGAGTGATCCCAGATGCCTGATTAACTGACAAAGATTTAGATTTGTGTTGAGTGTTCCCAACACAAAGAAATAATAAATATTTGAGATGATGGATATGCTAATGATAGGTATACATTATATGTATCCAGACATCACTACCCCATAAATATGTACAATTATTATATGTCAATTCAAAAATAAAAACAAAGTGTAAAAATCAAACACACAAAACATTGAGATTTGTAGAGAATAAGAATAAATATTGCATGTATTTTAATTTGGATATAGTCCGTTCTACAACAAATACTAAATTATCAAAAAGACATGATGTGTTTCATTTGAAAACTGTTGGATTTATAGTTTATTCCAGATGGTTAGAAATAGCAGTCAACCGGGCCGGGTGCGGTAGCTCATGCCTGTAATCCCAGCACTTTGGGAGGCTGAAGCAGGCAGATGGCCTGAGGTCAGGAGTTTGAGACCAGCCTGGCCAACATGGTGAAACCTCATCTCTACTAAAAATGCAAAAATTAGCTGGGCGTGGTGGGGGGTACCTGTAATCTCAGCTACTCAGGAGGCGGAGGTAGGAGAATTACTTGAACCCAGGAGACAGAGGTTGCAATGAGCTGAGGTCACGCCACTGCCCTCCATCCTGGGCGACAGAGCAAGACTCTGTCTCAAAATATATATGTGTGTGTGTGTGTATATATATGTATGTGTC